AAAAAAACCCCACCTGTATAGCATAAGAAACATACTCAGTACAGTTCAGCAGTTCTTCATGATGAAGTTCCTAACAAACTCAGAATGGCAGGTAACTTCTTTTAAAGACAGCAAAGGATAGCTACCAACCCCTACAGCAAATATCATACTTAAAATAAAACTTCAGAAACATTATACTTAAAGCCAGGAGCTACTGAGCTGACCCCTCTATTTCTCATACTGTTAAGCATTGAACTGGCATCCTAATCAGTGCAGTAAGACAAGAAGTAAAAATTAAGAATTATATGGACTGGAAAGAAGGAGAAACAATTGTGGTTATTAGAAGCAACATCTGAAAAGTGATTTTAGCACTGCTGCTATTAAGACAGTAAATTCTTAGCATTCTCACCACCACAACAAAAATTTTTTTCTATTCTGTTAATTTTGTATCTGTATGGAATGATTGATGTTCACTAAACTTACTGTGGTATCATTCCATGATTTATACCCTGCTGTATGTCAATTATATCTCAATAAAACTGGGGAAAAACAGAAGGAGGAGATTAGGACACAGACACGCACAGAGGGATGACCATGTGGGGACACAGAGAGAAGACATCCACCTCCAAGCCAAGGAGAGGAGCCTTAGAAGAAAGCAAACCTGCCAACGCTCTGATATCAGACGTCGAGTGACCAGTCTCTAGAATTGCAACAAAGTTAATTTCTGGTGTTTACCCCTCCCAGTCTGTGATATTTTATTCTGTCAGCCCTAGTAATCTAAACACAATTGGAGTGAGGAAACTGGCTGCTTAACGTGTGGAAACAAAACAAAATTAGATCAATATTTCACACAATTCCAGACAGATTAAAATTTACATGTGAAAGCAAAACGCTGAAACTGTTAAAAGATTAAACCATGGACATCTTTTATGATACCAGGGTGGGGAAAGATTTCTTAACAAAACATATAAGTAAACTATAAATGAAACCATAAAGGAAAAGTTAGATAAATTTTATGTCAATAATAAAATCTATGGGATCAACAATTTTATAAACAAAGTTCCAAGACAAGGAATAGACAGGAACCAAATTAAAACAAATATTGTGTATCAAGGATTAGTAAACACTATATGTTCAACTCCATGAATCTAGTAGAAAAAGATAACTCAGCAGAAAAATGACAAAGGATAATTGACAATTTATGGAAAGCCCCAAATGGTGTAGAAATGTGTATACTTCGGCAGTGATCACTGACATACATCCTTGTGTAACAGGGAAGAACAAATCAGACTTCATGTTGGATGTTTCTTTTACTTTAACCCTGTATCATATTGCTTTTGCCACAAGTTAAGAATGTTACCTAGCGCCTGAAATATACAGGGTAGTCCATTCTCAAGACTCTGATATTTAAAGGTATAACACTTTTCCATTCATATAGAGATTAAAAAGTTGCAGAAGAGAGAATAGCATTTGTCTTGTTGGAGGTTTACAGGTACACCATCACCATTCACGTGGACAGGTGAAAGAACAAAGGATTTGGACACCAAGAAGTTTGCAACAACCAACCACACCCTTCCCCTTTTAAGTATAAATGGAGCCTGAATTCTGACTTAGGAAAGATGGTCCTTTGGGACAGTAGTCCCCATCTTCTCAGTCTGCTAGCGTTCCAAGTAAAGTCCTACTCCTTGCCCCAATACCTTGGCTCCCAATTTATTGGCCTGTCATGCGGCAAGCAGAATGAATTTGGACTTGGTAACACTTGTGTTCTGCATTTTAAGTATTAGTTCAGTTTTAAAATTTTTGATCTTGGGTATTCAGACCTTGTTCCAAACTCCTCCTCATATTCCACCTTTAAGGAGCATAGTGGCTTCATGGTTGAAGTCTGTATTTTTCATCATAGTAAATTAGGAAACAACTTTTTCTAATTTATTTTTTAAAACCTAGTATATATTTTTCAGTTCAAAATTTTCTTTCATCTTATTGAGATAATTCTATTTTCCCCTTGACTTATTTATTTATACTATTGTATATCCTGATTGTCCTTATATTTCCAGAATAGAGTCCACTTGGTTTCTAGTCTACAAATATATTTTTACTTCCACGAAAATATTGCCAGCTTCTCTCTATGGATAATTTTTCAGTATTTTTGAATGGGCAGCAACTAATCAAGTTTTGTCTGAGCTTCCTTTTCAAATTATACACTTACCGATTTTGGTGCCTCTATGCTATTTAATAAATAGAAAACTTTCTATTTAATTCCTCTGAAGCTATTTAATTAAGAATTCTCTGATCACTGGATGTTCGAAAGAATCCACTGGAAACTCAACAATTGATGATTTTTGACAAATAATTTCTAATATTGTCTTCGCTTTTACCCATGTTTAGGTTTTCCTGCTTCTTGGGTCAAACTTGACACTATTCCTTGGGAATCATTTGTGTCACAAAGAATTTTGCATTTATTAGCACAGAGAGGATTCTCATTCAATTTCCCACGTGTCTGTGGTCCTCTTTTTTCATCCTGCCCTTCATTGTCTTTTTTGAAAAGTCGGGATAGTGACTTATTCATAACTTCCCCCACAGCATCCGAATTATGGACTAGCTTCTCTTGTTTTCTGCTTTGCCTAGCTACTGTCCATACAGTAATTAATTTTTTTCCCTTGGTCGAATTCTTGAGCGGTTGTCTATCGTATCTATCATCTCTGTCGGTCTGCCTGTCTGTCTGTCCATCCCCAGCCACCGCCCATCTGCGTGTCCGACCCGCATCCCGGGGTCCCGAAAGCCCTCACCGCGCCGTCCCCCCACGCGCGTGCCCGCCGCTCGCGCCCGCGGTC